GCCGCGCGGGACCCGCAGCACGAGCTTGCCGGTGTGCTGGCCGCGCGCGAGCGTCCGCAGCGCGGCGCCGGCGGACTCGATCGGGAGCACCTCGACCTCTGGCGGCGGGCCATGGCACCAGAGCGTAGCGGCGCTCTCGTGCAGTACCTGCGAGCACACATGTGACGCAGGCAGAGGGCAAAGGCATTGATTCAGTATCAAATCAAGTGTTAGCTGGCAGCAACCGGCGCAGAGCGCTATGTGCGTGAAGGAAGGCCGGGCGGCCCGCATCTAGCAACAGTCTTGATGGGCATCCGCCCCTGCCCCCGCAGCGGCAATCCCTGCCCAGCGGCGGCTGGCTGCTGGGCGAGCTACCACCCCTCTCAGCCCCCTCCCCAGGCTTCCATCCAAGCATCATGGCCGGCCGCGCACCCTGACGAGGGTCTCCGCATTGTCCTGGGCCAGCATATCCACGTGGGCGGATATGAAGCTGATGTTGTGCTTCAGCAGGCTGAGATCCAGGGGCGTGCCTCCAAGGATGTCGCGCTTGCCGACCTCCACAAACCGCCCGCCAGGCGCCACAAGCTCCAGCGACCCGACCAGCCCCGCGCCGGACAGGCTGTTGAGCACCACGTCAACGCCGCGCCCGCCTGTGGCGGCTGCCACGGTCGGGCCCCAGCTGGCCGGCGGCGCGCGCGAGTCCAGCACCGCCACCACCCCCGGCTCCCGCGCCAGCCGCTCCCTCTTAGCAGGGGACCCCGCGCTGGCAATAATGCGGCAGCCCACACGCTGCGCGACTCGCAGCGCCGCCTGGCCGAGGCCGCCCAGCGCGCTGTGCAGCAGCAGCGTGTCGCCGGCCGCCAGGCGCGCGCGCTCAATGAGCGCATAGTGCGCCGTCAGGTGCGTAGTCAGGTGCCCCGCCGCCTCGACCAGCGGCACGCCATCCGGCAGCGGCACGCACAGCGCCGCTGGCACTGCCACCAGCCCGGCGGCGCCCGGCGGCGCGGCCGCCGCTGCCGCCGCCCCGGCTGCCCGGCCGGCTGCAATGGGGCTGAGCACGTCGAGCAGGATGGCGGCGACGCGCGCGCCGCAGCAAAGCGCGGGCAGCGCGTCCGCGACGCCGGGGCCGACCTCCGCCACTAGGCCAGAGAGCTCCAGCCCCAGGGGCACCTTGAAGCCCGGCAGCAGGTCCAGGCCGACCATTACATCCCTTGGGGGGTGCGCATTGCGTCGACGAGGCGTTTGGCACGCTGGTGAGCTATCTAGAAGCGGCTTTGGTGCGCGATCCTCATGCAACGGGCGGTCAAGCTGCGGCCGCGCAGCTGCTGAATCGTGCTCCGTGCGGCTGCGCGGCGTCCCATGCTGCTTCTTCCCGCGTCTGGCGCAACCCTTCGCTCGCCGAGACGACGACAACTGCTGCTCGGGTACTATGGCGCGGCCGGCGGCGCGGCGCAGCGATGCCCTGCAGCTGCCCAGGCGCGTCCCCGCCCACCTGAAGTTGAGGCCAATGCCTGCCACCTCTACTCGGACCTCGCCCTCCCGCAGTGGCGGGAGCCGCGCCTCCACAAAGCCCACCGATGACAGCTGCCCGGGCGACGTCATCCCCAGCTCCCAGCTGGCGCCGCCTGCGGTTGTCCCTGCCGCCGGCGCCGCGCTGGCGCCCCAGCCGCTTGCATCCACGGCCCGCGCGGCCGCTGCCGCGGCCTGGCGCGGCGGCGGGGCGGGCGCAGGAGGCTGCGCCCGCGGCTGCGCCGGCGGCATGGGCGCAGCGGGCGCCACGCGGACGAGGGGCGCCGCCGCGAGCTCGGCCGCGCCTGGCGCCCATCCTGGCCGCATCTCCAGGACCAGCTTGCCCGTGTGGGTGCCGCTGGCGAGCTTGCGAAGCGCCTGGACAGCGGTCGGCGGGTCGAAGGGCAGCACATGCACCTCCGGGGCGCGGCCAGCCGCCACGTCAGCGAAGACCTCTGCCGCGCTGTTGTTGAGCAGCTGCGGGCGGGGCGGATGGTGACGAAGGTCACGGTGCGGTCGAAACGGGACCAAGGCGTTGGTTGGCAAGGGCACGACGGCCTGCAGGACGGACACACCACTTGCAAAGGGAAGCATGTGCAGCTTCGTAACAGGGAGCAGAAACGCTAACATGCACATGTGCACACACACTCACACGAACACACACACACACACACACGCAACCTCACTTGCAAGCTCATGCGCCCACATGCACTGTCTTGCTCCCTCTCAACACTGGCTCATACCCGCGCGAGCGGACACACCCACACACGCACACACGCACACACACACACACACATACGCGCGCGCGCGCGCGCGTGTGCGCGTGCGCCACACACACGCACCACTAGATGCATACACATGCACTCATGTCAACTCACCTCCACAAACGCTGCTGGGTCGTCTTGATCCAGGATGTCAATGTGGGCTGAAATGAAGCTGATGTTGCGCTTGAGCAGGCTCAGGTCCAGGGGCGTGCCCCCAAGGATGTCGCGCTTGCCCACCTCCACAAACCGCCCGCCAGGCGCCACCAGCGCCAGCGACCCGACCAGCCCCGCGCCGGACAGGCTGTTGAGCACCACGTCCGCGCCTCGCCCGCCCGTGGCTGCTGCCACGGTGGGGCCCCAGCTGGCCGGCGGCGCCCGCGAGTCCAGGACCGCCACCACCCCAGGCTCCCGCGCCAGCCGCTCCCTCTTAGCAGCCGACCCCGCGCTGGCAATGATGCGGCAGCCCACGCGCTGCGCGATGCGCAGCGCGGCCTGGCCCATGCCGCCCAGCGCGCTGTGCAGCAGCAGCGTGTCGCCGGCCGCCAGCCGCGCCCGGTCGACCAGCGCGTACCTGGCCGCCAGGTGCGTCCCTAGGTACCCGGCAGCTTCCGCCAGCGGCACGCCGTCCGGCAGCGGCACAATCATCTCCGCCGGCGCCGTCACGTGCGAAGCGGCGCCGGGGGCGCCCGAGCGCAGCGCGAGCGCGATGGCGCGGGTGCCGGGCGCGAGGCCCGGGCGGCGAGCGGCGGCACCGGAGCCGAGCTCCGAGATCAAGCCGGCGACCTCTGTCCCGATGCTGCTGTTGAGGCCGGGGAGGAAGCCCATCGCCGACATCACATCCCTGTGCCATGTGTTTAGGGGCGGGGCCGCAGGCGGTGACGCGAGAGGGGCGGGGAGGGGCGTCGCTTCAAGGTGCTGAGCGGAGCAAGCTCGCTGCAGCACCACATGCCTGCTGCATGGCGAGCTCTCAGGAACGTGGGCCGAAGAGCCCATATAGCCCATATACCATCACAGTGGTGCGCGAGTCGGAGCCGGCCGAGGCCCACCTGAAGTGGAGGGAGACGGCCTCGACCTGCAGCCGCACCTCCCCCTCCCGCAGCGCCGGCAGCTCCAGCCGGTGCAGCGCCAGCGATGTGAGCTGCCCTGGCGCCGCGGCCGCGAGCGCCCACCGCGGCGCGCCGGGCGCGCGC